GTCCGAAAAAATGACCACCGAACTTGAGCGACTTGTACACCATGGACAGCAAATGGCCGTCTTACAACTGACATTGGCTGATTAGAACTATCGACGACCTTTATTAACAGAGGTCATATAGGGTCACGTGATATAGATAAGGTCACACAGGATAACAGAAGGAAATGGAAATCGGCTTTGTCCGATTATTGCTTTTCTTATTGAACTTCGTTAGGCTTCTGGTTGAACTTAATTTGCTACAAATATACGTTTGTTTGAATTCGGTTGCCTTTAAACTTTGACCGTTTGACAGTGAAAAAAACGAATTTAGTCCTGCCAATTAGTGTTGTATATATTTGAACTGTTTGGTGTCCATTTAACTTTATTTTGTCTCAGATTTAACTTTTTTATTATTTAGTTTGGTATGCTTTTTATGTGGTTGTTTCACTGATTACAAATTTCTATTTCTCCGTACAAACCGTTTTTTGTATGAAGTTCGTTTTATACAATTGTACTGTGCTAAGACTAATCTGCATACTTTTACAATCCCGCTGTAAGTTCCTATATAAACATAACGAGCAAAAGATAAACTCATTTGGATCAGTGTTATTTTAAAGCTTCTCCTTTTGCCTCGTAAATAATTTAACAAGCAAACATTTGGGTGACGTTCAGCTGTGCCAGTAATATCGTTTGCACCGACGATATCAACACAATAACACCGTAAATAATATTGAGTATTTTGAGGAAATATTTCTGCTATCAACTTATTTTTGGTCACATTGCGATAACAAGACTGGCCGAGATGATTGCGGTGACAAAGTGTTTTTCTTTTACACACGTAGATAACCATTACCATACATTTAAGTAGTACAAAAGTACCGCTTCTGGCACAGGGTCATTGAGTGCAGTCTCCTATGTAATCCTTACAACTTCCCTGGTACCCCTATAGCTAGTGGCACCCCCCTTCGGTAGGGGGTGCCACTAAGCAGCAACCATCCTTCATAGACACTATGAAGCAGCCGGTATATGCTGTATTTACCCAGCAGCAGCAGCAGCAACATAAACAACAACAACACATGAGAAACCCCTATGACATCATCGATCGGTACCCCCTCGTATAGGTTGTCGCTATAAATAGATTCAGTCAGGAAAACCCCAAATACATGAGAACCCCCCTGTGACGTCATCGATCGGTACCCCCCTGCCGAAGGGGGGTGCAACTTTGGGGGTGCCAGGGAGGTGGTAAGGATCATATAGGGGAGTGCACTTAAATACCCTGTGCCAAAAGCGGTACTTTCCTACTACTCATTCACTGATTTTTAAACATCTATACCGTTAGGCAGATTAAAACTACATGTATTCCGTTCAATAGTTATAACGTGCATTTGAACTTGGATTTAGCATGTTTGAACCTTGCTGTTTTCTTTTTGAACTTGCTCATATCATGTTTAAGGTTGGAAGCAGAGATACATTGTAAACGTTTAGCTATGATCATTTAAGGACAGCCTCCCCTGTGTGCAAAATACATGTGTGTAGTGTATGCGTGTGTGTGTTGAGAGTCTGCGATATGTTCGTGTTTGTCTCCTTGTGATAGCGCGGAACTGATGCCGACCTCACTGAAACATACTGCCGAAGACATCCAGCAGGACAATCCACCCGGCAAACCCGTCGTACCACTCCTAAATTGCTGAGCGTTAAGCAGGAGTAGAAACTACCATTTTTACAGACTCTGAAATATCTCGGCCAGGGGACAGAACCCAAAGCCTTCCTCACAGGCGTGAACGCTTAAATAAAGGTCAAAAGTGAGGCGCTGTCAAGGGAGACATTAGGAAGAAAAAAGTTGCTTACTTGCAGACATCCCATCATTAGCAACGGATCAAGATATGTTGTCGATTATTTCTGAACCAGACTGTGTGGTCTGACCTTAAGTCTAGTTCTTCATACAAGATGGTAATATAGGAAAAAAACAACAACGTGCCGTTCGTTAACGGGATCCCAATGACGACGCGCCTTACTTTAACATGTCGTCACTCTAGTCTGTAATTGAATTGTTACAAACTTGTATTAAACTGTAATTAAACCGTAATTGAGATATGCGTACAGTAATTTTCCACTGGAAAAAGTTGCAAGCGTGTAGATAACTACATTGAGTGTTGACATCATATGTGACATTGAAAGATATATGGTATTATATACCACAGGTCATACAGGATCATACTTTTGACTAAACTACCCATCAACACATTAAGTATGCATACAGTAGACTTAACGGCACATCAACACATTAAGTATGTGCATATCATACAGTAGACTTAACAGCACATCAACACATTAAGTATGTACATATCATACAGTAGACTTAACAGCACATCAACACATTAAGTATGTACATATCATACAGTAGACTTAACAGCACATCAACACATTAAGTATGTACATATCATACAGTAGACTTAACAGCACATCAACACATAAAGTATGTGCATATCATACAGTAGACTTAACAGCACATCAACACATTAAGTCCATAAGGGCCATACTGTAGACTCATACAGGGCCATACTGTAGACTGATACAGGGCCATACAGTAGACTCATACAGGGCCATACAGTAGACTTAACGGCACATCAACACATTAAGTATGTACATATCATACAGTACACTTAACGGCACATCAACACATAAAGTATGAGCATATCATACAGTAGACTTAACAGCACATCAACACATAAAGTATGTACATATCATACAGTGGACTTAACGGCACATCAACACATTCAGTAAGTACATATCATACAGTAGACTAAACGGCACATCAACACATTAACTATGTACATATCATACAGTACACTTAACGGCACATCAACACACTAAGTATGTACATATCATACAATAGACTTAACGGCACATCAACACATTAAATATGTACATATCATACAGTACACTTAACGGCACATCAACACATTAAGTATGTACATATCATACAGTACACTTTACGGCACATCAACACATTAAGTATGTACATATCATACAGTAGACTTAACGGCACATCAACACATTGAATATGTACATATCATACAGTAGACTTAACGGCACATCAACATATTAAGTATGTACATTTCATACAGTAGACTTAACGGCACATCAACACATAAAGTATGTACATATCATACAGAAGACTTAACAGTACATTAACACATTAAGAATGTACATATCATACAGTAGACTTAACGGCACATCAACGCATTAAGTATGTACATATCATACAGTAGACTTAACGTCACATCAACACATTAAGTATGTACATATCATACAGTATACTTAACGGCCCATCAACACATTAAGTATTTACATATCATACAGTAGACTTAACGGCACATCGACATATTAAGTATGTACATATCATACAGTAGACTTAACGGCACATCAACAAATTAAGTATGTACATATCATACAATAGACTTAACGGCACATCAACACATTAAGTCTACTGTATGATATGTACATACTTAATATGTCGATGTGCCGTTAAGTCTACTGTATGATATGTACATTCTTAATGTGTTGATGTGCCGTTAAGTCTTCTGTATGATATGTACATATTTAATGTGTTGATGTGCCGTTTAGTCTACTGTATGATATGTACATACTTAATGTGCTGATGTGCCGTTAAGTCTTCTGTATGATATGTACATATTTAATGTGTTGATGTGCCGTTTAGTCTACTGTATGATATGTACATACTTAATGTGCTGATGTGCCGTTAAGTCTTCTGTATGATATGTACATACTTAACGTGTTGATGTGCCGTTAAGTCTACTGTATGATATGGACATACTTAATGTGTTGATGTGCCGTTAAGTATGTACATATCATACAGTAGACTTAACGTCACATCAACACATTAAGTATGTACATATCATACAGAAGACTTAACAGTACATTAACACATTAAGTATGTACATATCATACAGTAAACTTAACGGCACATTAACACACATACTCCACACATGTTCATACCGTAGACTTAACGGCACATCAAAACAATAAGTCTGTACGGGGTCATACAGTTGACTTAACAGTACATCAATGAATTAAGTCCATACAATTCATAAAGTAGACTTAAAGGCACATCAACACATTAAGACAATACAGGGCCATACAGTAAACTAAACGGCACATCTTAACGGCCCTTCAACACATTAATACCATACAGGATTATACCATATACTTAACGGCACATCTTAACGGCCCATCAACACATTAAGGCCATACAGAGTCATATAGTAGTAGACTAAACGACCAATCAACACATTCAGGCCATACAGGGTCATACAGTAGAATTAACGAATAAATGTTACGACATTATTACCGTTGTGAAATTTTCATAAGTAATTTGTCATTTTAATATGAAATACGTTCTCCGTTCTCTAAGCGTCATTTCTTATTAAAAAAATCAAATGTTATGTATTGTCCTCATGTAGGTGATATTATGAGCCGCATAGTTTAATCGGCTGGTAATTTATTTGTAAATTACGAATGTAATATTAAAAAGATGACATGACGTTACATATACCAGTAATCAAATTAGCAATGTTATTTTTTTTTTGCATCATCTATGTCATATAAACTGAAAATTAACTTGACTTTTAATTGTCTTTTTTAAATTTGTACAATATTTGGCCATTTTCTGGAACTTGTCACATAAACAAGTCTTATACCAAACTGAAAACTCATTGGTATTCTTTATTAATTGTTGCACATGGAGTTTCAGATCGTATTAACTTTAATTTTCCATTTGAATGAAACCGGATCGGGTCCAGATGGTAACCGAACGGAGAAAAGCACGCGCGTGCCACAATCACGAATCGTGTATTTCCGGCTTAATGAGGGTCGAGACATGTCCCAGGCCCGGTAACGAATTGGTCTACACACATGTGCGCAAAATAAAAAAAAAACCATGTGCTTCTCGTTAGCAGCATTCTCGTCGTACACATGTTTACATATCTAGATAGACTTAACTTTCATTGTAGCTTTGTTAGAACTGGAGGCCATGTCAGATTTTGGTTTGTCAAGGTTTTGTAGAACCGTAGCATTTTCTTGATTTTAAATTATAATGTTCGGCTTTAAATGTCCTCGCGCCGTGATGTAAGTGTGTTCGAGTTGTATTCTGAGGGACGTTGATGCAATGTTAGATCGCTACAGTTCGTCCCTAGCCATGGCGGAGGCGATAATGGCGATTTTAACAGTGGTCTGTACATTGAAGAGTGTAGGAGGGACGTACCCCTTATTGCGAACTCGCAGGTGAGTCGTTTCTACAGATGATTCATGGATTTTGGCCATACAGAAATATCAATTTTAATTTATGAATTTAAAATATCATAATTTGAGAATGCCAGTGAATACAAATCGTATTTATTGTATTTTCCAACAATTTATGTTTGAATGGCTTGTTGAGATTAACAAAATGATAAATTGAATACTGAAGAACGTACAGTAATTCAATTCGGTTCCAATGCTTTTATTGACCTCGATGTTCTCAGTTTTACTTCGCAATATGTCGTCTTTAGTCTGTTAATGTTGTTTGAGCTGTTGTAACTAACAGGGGTCAACACGAGTGCGGAGGTGTGGACGGGCGCTGTTGTCCTGGCTGGTCCCGGACCGGGGATAGTCGACTCTGTCTGACACGTGAGCATTAAGATAATTCGCAATGCAAGGGAGCTAACTCCAAGAACACTCGTTAATTTTAAAATCTAGGATTTATCATCAGTCCCCTCTAGGTTGGGGAATGTACGTCTTATTGCAGTTTTAACTGTTCTGGAATGTTTTTCAACATACTTATATATATATTTAATGGAATGAACTAAAATCCACCCCTGAATGACGCCAACATTAATAAAATTATTAAAGAGTTATAAGAATTTATTGATACATTCTAACCAGAGTCTGTATATTACGCCATTGACCCGACACACTAATCCTGATTCCCCTAAAAACTAGATATATATCATATCAGGTCAATACTCTACTGTAATGCAGTGAAAATTCTAAAACAGAGATGTTCGGAAATGGAACTTCCAGGATAATGTAAACCTTTGGTATCTGGATACCTGTATACTTCCGCCCTAGTACTACTGAATGCATTCAACTACAAAATAAAAATACCTGTATTTACTAATCCTTAGCTAGGTCCTTTTCTATTTATATATCTGTATATGCAGATTGGAACTGTGTTGAACAGTTACCTTTATAAACTAAAACTTTAAGAAGGTTTCTGTGTATGCATATATATTAATGTATATTTGCATGGCATGAATGTTCAAAATTGCTAGTCTAGATACGTTTTTAAAATAGACCTTCAACTCTTGTTCAAACTGCATGCATCCCAAGGTCATGTAAATATAACCTGACTTAACTTAAAAACCTGTTTAATCCGACCGATCATACAACTGTCCTGTATTGTTTAATTTTGTATAAACTTTATCCGTTACAGCCATATGTAGAGGATGTGGTTCCGGAGTATGTACATCCCCTAACCTATGCGCATGCCCTGACGGAAGTGTGAAATCTTCTTGTCATGTAGTAGACACGCCAACAGCTATAAATGCGAGATCCGTTCTTCCGGTCCAGCTGTCTACTTGTGAACACATTGGATGTGAACAGAGATGCGAAGAAGTGCAGGGTATCCCACAATGCACCTGTATGTCTGGTTTCGCAATAATTGATCGACGATCCTGTCGAGGTAAATTAATATTTCACCATTTAGCGTTACATATAAAATCTGCCATTTTTGTTTTTGATTTGTCTTGGTAAAATAGCACAATATTTGATATCAGTGTAACACTATCTATTACCCACAACTGTGATAAGTTTGTTTGTGAAATGAGAAAAAATTGAAGAGAAGTAAAAGATAAACATGCAGAAACTCGTCAGTGTTCTTACAGATATGTACTTGTATACTTGTGTGGCATATTTAAATTGTACATTTGATTACGGTCGCCTTCTAGCATCAAGGTAGAGGGAGTTTGCCTTTAGCTAATTAGTGGTAGAGCGTCCGACTTAGGAACCTGGAGATCGGGGGTTCGATCCCTGACGGACGCACATGTAACACTACTCTCTGTCCTTGTACCGTAGTTAAGGTGACCAGACAATTACAGATGGCTGTGTACACAAGCCAGATAATGATATATACACTCATTAGAAACGTACGTCCTGTATTTAAAGTATGTTTAAATTTAACCTAATGTGTTACACATTTTCAATGTAAGCGTTCATCAGTACTTGTAATGGGTTAGTTTCTTCATCGAGTTTGTGTTTGGTAATTGTGACATACATGCAATTTCATTCAAACATACACATTATATAAATGAATGAAATCCCGTTTTTATTTTAAATCTATTATAATAATTATATCATTATTATCAAGGTTTAGCGTTATTTAAAAATTGTTTTTATATGCCATGTTGAAAACAAAACTGAATGGCAGCGTAATCTCTTTTTTTAATTATTTTCATTGACAAAATTACATATTTACTTTTAACTCAGTTGTTGTTTATAGTAATGTATTTTGTCAATTACTTACAAGAATACAATTACAGATCAGTTCAATAACAGCGAACACTGTTACAGCAATAATACAATGTACTTTACTGTTTGTGCTGTGCCCATAGATGTGAATGAGTGTCGTGAGGGACGCCGGAAGTGTTACCAAGGATGTATCAACACGGTCGGAAGCTTCATGTGCACCTGCTTCCGGGGGTTCACGCTGACCGACAATGGCCGTTCATGTCGCCGACTGCACGATTATCGTAAGTCACATCCGGGGGGCGCTCATATCGGATATTACATTATTATCGTTACTTATGTACAGGGGACTCTCATGTCGATGACAACATGTCTACTCTAAGTCAAATACAGGGGGCGCTTTTGTCGGAGATTAAATGACTATAGTCACATATAGGGGTTGCCCATGACGGAGGTAACACAATTTTTGTAAGCCACACATACGGTGGCTGATAAGTGCCATTTCGTTGTTTCGTCTTTTCGCCCCGAAAGGACGACAATTAACAAATCTTAATTCTTGTTGTATCACAGACAATATGATGAGTCGACCTCAGTCATCCGGAAACTTTAAAAAGTCAACCAGGACAAGTATACCGATAATGGATTAACAACATTTTGCCATTCTCCAAATCACTTCAGTTTATCTCTAAAGATAGGACAAATTGACAATTCAGCCTCATATTAAAATTATTTAATGTGTTGTGTTCGTTTAAAAGAAGAACAGTTATCTTCCTGAGAGCGTCGGCGATGCCCAATGTACCAACCGTGACGTCCTTATAATTATTACGTCAGCAATTATACCAACATATCCGTAGTTGTTTAAAATATCATCAATTTGTTAGGGAATATATAATGGTTATGCCATACAGTGATAATTATAACGAGGAAACACTCGTACTGTACAGGCTGTATACGTGGTGTATGCCACACGATCTTTTCTGTAATTCCGTAGGTAACTCCCCGTGCGGATCAGGCTCACGTGCACGAGGTCGACCCTGTGGAATTCACCCCCTCAAGCTTACATCCGAAGTTGATGTTGATTCACCATGTGGGGAAGGCCAGCCCTGCGGAACGCCTTCGTATCACGCCATACCATCTGTGGTACATCCTCCACCGCTACGGCCATGTGGTTCAGACGGCGTACCCTGTGGATCTTCTCCACACGTAGACTTTGGATCCCAGTCCCCGTGTGTACCAAGTTCCTCTCCTTGTGATACAAATGCGCCGGAAATTCCATTTTCCGTAGATCACATGCCACCTCCTCCATGTGGTTCCGAATCTCAACCCTGTGGTTCCGAATTACCGTGTGGATCGAATAGAGAGCCATGTGGATCAAATCCGCCGTGCGGATTGGAGAACCAACCCTGTGGACCAGAAGTACCGTGTGGAACGGATGCTCAGCCATGCGTAGCAGTTCCACAAATCCCGACTGTTGGTGAAGAATTTCCTATCCTTCCAGAATGTAGGGGTCCCGATTGTAATCCAACTTTTCCTCACGAAGCGCCCGATCATCGAGAGGCATTGTTTCCAGAATTCACGAACACTGAATTTCAGCCCGTTCCATGTTTGGGACGTGACTGTAATACCGCCCCGGGCGAGGTTGATGGAAATCAGCCCTGTACATCCGGAGCATGTCAGTTTATACCAGAAATGTATCCGGACATTACTCGACCATTAGATCCAATCGTGCAGAGTCTCAGTCCTTGTTTGAGTGATGAATGTGTGCATGACCGTCAAACACGTACACGAAATACACAATTCGTTTTACAAACGGCCCAATTCAATGAAAGGATGCCCTTCTTCCAGGAGGAAATGTCAACGTTGACAGAGATTTCCCGGGGAATTTATCCGTGTCCACGATCTGGGTGTCAAACAGGGTACAACGGTCCCGGTACTCCCTCTGTATTTAACGATGTATCACACCGCTTACAGCCAGACAGCGCCTTTACCAAATTCGACAACGAGGCTGCACCAGAGCATTACACGACCACAGAAAGTACACAAACCGTTCATAATAGACCTAAATCTCCAAAACTGCGCCCAGCGGTCGCGTCTAGGCCAGCTCTACCCCGACCGTCATTTAGAGTAGAAACAATTACTGGCGATTGGAACCAAGACAGAAGACACACTGATGAACGAAAGACACAGCAGTTGATTCAAAAATCACGTGCAGGAGTCAATGATGACATAGAGAGGTTAAAAGGTCACAACAGATTAGACATTACAGAATGGAACACGGGGACATTGTCAAAGAAAGTCAATCCACTTCACGAGGGGAGGAGAATAATCAAAGAGACCCCGTTACACCCAATTGAGCAATCAGATCAGTCCTTACCAAAAACGCCGTATCGTAGAAGAAAAAATAAGCAAAAACGTAAAAATAGAAAACAGAGAAAAAACAAAAAGTTACGTAAGAAGAACGTTGTAGAAAATAGTAAATCCAAAGGGTCACGCATGAGAATGAACCGGACGTCGACTCATCATGAATCGGAAACACCAAAATCGACAACGCCTCTTCCTGTTGATTACATCCCTAGGACGTCCTCGACAATTTCAGCTATCGAATCGACGGAAAGAACTAGCTTTGAAGATAAGATCAAAACATTTGTTATGCAGTTTAACAAGCTACGAGGCCGACAGAGGGCCAGTAACCCGGCTACCCGACCAAAGGGGGAAGGGAGGGGAAAACAGGAAGGCCGTGCAGGAGAGCGACGGGGACAAGAACGGATATGTCGGGACGATTTATGTACATCATATATTAGATCTTTTGGGACAGATGATGAGGCTATATCATCAGAGCCATGTCCTCCGGGCTACCGTCAGCGCGTGGAGGGTGCTACAGTATACTGTCAGGCCGTCGGTGAGGAGGACGTGTCTGACCTTTCTCCTGGAGTAACGAGGCGTTCTGACCTTCCCGAGATGACAAGGAGTTCAATCCCGCCAGATATATCTCACCACGCTATCCCTCCAACAATGAAAACTAACCCTTCACCGGTGATTGTCAATACAATTTCCCGTGACCATACTCCTACTCCGACATCACGTATTGAACCTGTCCAACAGCAAGGTGTCTGCCCTGCTGACCAGGTAGCCGTCAACGTACTGGGTGGCGTTGTCTGTCAGTATAAGGGAACGCAGACAACGCCACCCCCAGCGTGTCCACCAGGGCAGCTCATCACTAGGTCCGGTATGGGATCCATGTGTGCAGCCGCTGGTGAAGTCCGGCCTGTTTGTGGGATAGGTACGAGTCTGACACAGGTCATGGGGAGATATATTTGCGAGGAAATATCAGCTGCATGTACATCTGGGAAATCAAGAGTGCTAACGTCTTCTGGATGGCGATGCGTAGGTTCACCGACCTCGGCCCCTTGTCCCGATGGGCTTGAACCCGTCGACACGCCGGTGGGAAGGGTGTGCCAATATACGGGTCAGCAACAATCTCCCATCCCTACTTGTTCTCCGGGTCAGCAGCTCGTACGTTCTCGTACCGGATATACGTGTAACTATGGTAATGTCCCCACTACCCGGGAATCATCACGGATATGCTCTCCTGGGTTCATCCCATTGGACACAACGGACGGCCAGAGATGTATCAAGGACCCTACTCTCAAAGTTAGTGTCGTCGACTGTCCTGTGGGGTTCAGGATATCACTTGGGGAATGTCAGCCAGTGGGTACGAGTGATGACAGGAGTGAGGAACCTTGCCCTCTGGGACAAGAGGCAGTGTTCACGGACAGTGGTCGTATGTGCCAGTATCGTTCGCGAGGTAGCCATGGAAACAATCGAAGTGTCTCACAAAACAATCCTGATAACTCGAATAATAACCATGAAAACTCGAATAGAAACGATGGCAATTCGGAAAGGAACCGCGACAATACATATATGAACCCTGGTTACTCAAATAATAACAACGGCGATACCAGCAAGAAATTTGGAGACTTTGATGGTAACCCTGACGACATAGGCACGAGATGTCCCCGAGGTCAAATATTGACCCAAAAACGAACTGGGTTTCTCTGTGATTTCACCACTGTCGATGTAACGGAATGGATATGTTCTCCACGGGAGGTAATCGTACAATTGACCTCTGAACTTGGCTGCGTGGAAGTCACACAGACAACCATTATGTGTGGGAATGATCTTGAACTCGCTTGGAGTCATAAAGATCACGAATTCACCTGTCTTCACTCTTCTACGTCAAGTCTGGGCGATATATCCCCGACAACACAACAACCCTTAGTCTCCTGGAAAACTCAGGTACCCCGGAAGAGAGAGGGTCCATTTTCGTGTGGGATAGCGGAGATCCAGGTCATAGATGATGAAGGGCGACGATGTGTTGTCATGGAAACTGATAATGGGTTATGTGGGGAGGCCTATATCGTTCAGACACTTGAAAATGGTCAAAAGATATGCAAATCTCGGACAATGAAATTGAAGTGCCCGGATGGGTATGAACTCATGGCGACAGGCCGGACTCCAGAGTGTATACGTATTGGAGGTAAGTAAACACTTACTATCAAAATACAAGCTACAGGGCACAGTTGCTAAAGACGGAATATCCATACATAAATTTATTTGCAACTTCAATTTTTATGACTTATATTAGTATTAAAATGCATACCTAAATTATTCACGAGGAATGACATTTGAAAACTGGAAATCATTTCTGGAATATGTCAAATACAGAAAAAAATCACTTTTAGGTAAAGCAATTATACATATGTATATTTATTCTAGTTTAAGTCCACCTCTTTCGATATTTGCATTATACTGTAAAGGTACCCGTCTCAAAGTTTGAAGATGTATTGACAGGGAGTTACTCTTCAAATATATGTTTTGCAGCAGTAAACATAACTGTGGAGTACATATCCAACATGATTACTGTTGTTTACAGTTGTGAAGATGAACATATAGTTATTAAAACACTTATAATAATATGTTTTTTTCTGTAATCCTGGGCTATTTTCCCGTTGTTGAATAAAAAAGAGGAAAAGAAAAATACAGTTAAACGATATAAGGCATAGTCGGTGACCTTGTCTAACTCCTTATGTTAGACGAAGGAGGAATGCCCACTTTAATTCATCGATCTTTTCTATATTCACCCCTTTATTTATTCAATATCGAACTGATTAATAAGAAAACAACAAACCCGGCTTCATAATGACATAACGTTCGAATCATTTCTGCAAAAATCAGTCTAACTAGGGTTGGACACTAACTGTTTTTGCTTGGTAGTCTACAGGACTAGTTGAAAAGATAATTTACTAGTCCTTCATCAATGTAACTTGTCCAAGATTTCTTAAAGGAAACATCGCGATCTACAGTACAAATCATCAAAACTAATCGACTGTAGGGGACTTAAAATAACAACTGCCATAAAAATATGGTAAAGGTTTTGGGGAGAATTTCGCCAATATTCATGCAATTTATCTTATTTTAAGCAGTTGTCTAGATTTAAAAAAAAGGAATATTCTTATTTTATGATCATATTTTTCACAAGTCCAAAGGACCAGTTAGGTTAGGTGATTCACTAGTCCTTGCTGAAATCTACAAGTCCAGGATTAACGGACAAGTGTCGACCCCTGCGGAGTAATTTGTGATGCCTCGCACCGTTTTGATACCATTTTAATTCCAATTATAGCTGTCAGCTACGCGTAACCCGCCCCTGTGGTTACATATGACGTGTCTACTTATAAACGTAGGATTATCAGGTTTGATCAAATGCTATATTTTCTTTTAAAGGAATCGGTTTCTTTCAGGTACTGGGGAATATCACTTCATACGTTTCTTATAGTAAAATGTTGAACAACATATTTATACTTTATCATGAAAAGTTCTTGTTACAAAACCAATAAGTGTTTTTTATGTGACGTTTCGATGACTAGTACGGTATGTACTCTGTCACCTTCAACAGACAAATGACCACTGAAGCATATGCACACAAAGGTGTAAACTGTGTACGAGTTGTCCACAAATCGATGTCGATTCGTCTACACTGTAAGCGTATGTACAATTAGTTGTTATATATGTACCGAAATGACTCGGATATGACGTAGAATTGATCAGTTGTTGTGCTACCTCTTATACTATTGTACATAAGAACATGCATACATTAACCTAAATACAGTTATTAGAGCTAGTAAGATAAAATACGATGAAACATTATATTCGTTCTGGTAATTTTCTTAATACAACTTTCAGTATTAGTGTCTAAAGCGTTTTATAACTAAAAAGTGCAAATGTATCTTTCCGGGAGTTCTATTTCCGCCTCCAGTTTTTTCTTATATAACATAGGAACACTACTTATTAAATATGATTAAATAAATTGTAACCATTTTGGTGAGCTACAAATGCTACAAGTTCTACATTGCAATTTATCTAGCTTTTCGGGAGTTAAATTGAAATTTAAGGGAGGTAATCGTACAGATGACTTCTGAACTTGGCTGCGTTTTCAAATTATTGTTAGATTCCAACGGGACAATTTTAACCAGCGCTGGCACACCTGTTTTACTTCTCGCCGTGACTGTGCGTGAATTGCTAGTGTTTTAGACCTTTACCAAAATTTACTTTAATAACAAATAAAAATGTGGACGTTTTAGTCGACTTGACGGTTTCCTTTTTTATTGGAATCTGCAGTTCCAGGTTCTGTTATTAGAAATCCCTAGATTATTATTAAGTCATCCACATTAGTAAAACCCTATTTATTGATATCTGTCATTGCTTCCGTCGCGTAGTATCTGCCGTACCGTTGAGTCCCTGTGAAGATAACTACAGCATTAGTGACGATGGTGGAGGTGCCAGATGTGTGCTGTCCCACGTAGGGCCCGGATGTCCTGGGGGTATGTTATGTTGTATGTATATCAATTATGAGGGTCGGAGGCGGTCCTATGTATTAGGTCTGCTGAAAGGGTTTGCTGATGTAATTTAAATAATACTCAAAGTATATTTTTTCTCGATTGGCCTTGAGACAAATTTAATGAACATTAATGATATTATTAACTTCTAAAATATCGGACTAGTACAAGTTATACCTAGTCTAATACTGCTGAAAGTTCAAATTTGTTTATATTAAGTGGAAAATCTAAAAACGGAACTAGTTTTTTGCGGATGTATTCATACGCCACCTTGAAAGTTTATGGAAAAATACCCCTCATACACTTTACTTGTAGTTCGTTTATGGAGTCCAACCTCAGTAGAAATGGAAATATTTAACTATAAGACTAGTTGTTAAGCATTTCATATCTGTGAGATTTAAGTCATAGGCTGTTAGAATAAAAGGTAGGCTGCGGTTGGCACGAGGCATACATCCCATTTAATTGCGCAGGAACGCAAAAGAATTGTATTCCAATAAAATGTTATTGCGTTTGCAAGCAATAAAGATATATCAGACACATTTTTCTAAATATCCTAGCATACAGTTACTCAAATTACACGAAATCATGAGGACAGGGATTTGTATTGTATTGTATTGAATTTAAAATGTTTTCTCACTGACTACTTTTCCCCCTCCAAGTTACGATAATTTTCGTTGTAATCATTGTACAGAAAACAAGACATCCGGTTGTGGGCTGAGTTTGGAGTCCTTGCAAATGGCATGTAACCCCCAATGTTCTAACGGAGGCGTGTGTAAGGATGGTACATGCATATGTTCGCCAGGTGTCACAGGAGTCGCCTGTCAACTAGGTAACATAAATATTTCACATATTGTCTCTATCATTTCGTTTTTTGGACTAACCCAGCATTTATGGCTACGCACTAAGCCAATTTCCGGTTCTCGGATAACAGAAAAAGTAAGCCTATATTTACATCATTCTATCGAAATCTTTAAAACATAATAGAAATAGTCGATATTGTCCACTTTCAATATTTCTCAGATGAAAATATAAACAATGTTTATGAATCACAGATGTGAACGAGTGCCACCTGTTACCGAGGGGTCACTGCCAGTACGACTGTCGGAACACGGTCGGAAGCTACCACTGTGTCTGTCCCCCCGGACGTGCCATAAACGCAGACGGACGCACGTGTAAAGGTATGCATGTATGTAAATATCAGATGAAAACATATTTACAGGTACACATGTATAAAGTAAATGAACGTATGCTCTCTATAGCTTATTACTTTTTATTGTGGTAAGCTTGACCTTTGTCTAGATGTAGATTTGGTCATTTTATGTTTGCGGACGGACGCGAAAGGAGATGTGTGTTTTGTTATAGGTGATATTAGTACATTTAAGAATTATTTTAGAATCTGTCACATATTTGATTACAGCTGTTGAATGTACACCTGAATGTCTCAACGGCGGTCATTGCCGAGATGGGACCTGTCACTGTGCGGCGGGATTCGAGGGATTATTTTGCCAGACAGGTATACTTCACATGACACGGGTTGACATCCAGTTCCAGATAAATAGGATGAACGTTTATAAACCATAGGTAAAAGGTACAAACCCGGGCATAGTCTATTGTAGTTATTTTTCGCTTTTGTAAAAATTGGGACCATGACCAGGATTAAAACTTGACGCAGGTTATGATACGGTTTGATCGCCAGCATGATGGTATAATGTCCGTTTGATAGTTCATTGGTAAAAGGTACAAGCCGTATCATATCATAATTGTTTTCGTTTTGTTAAATACTGGGGCCGTGGATTATAATTTAAAGTGGAACTGTTACTGTTGAGCTGTCGATTATAAAATAGCTCAGATGGTCAGTGAAATTGTAGTGTTCGGAGTTCTCTCTTTAAAATCGTCCACCAGCCAAACCTTTTCAAAGTGTCTTTTTCGAAATGAACACAATGGAATCCGATTAATCAGAATGAAATCCAGAATTTTTTCTAAAATATTTTGTTTTTCTATTTCAGTAGCTGAACACTAGTTTACCGCAGTCACACACAGTGATACAAATTAATTAACTAGTTTATTTCTTTTAGAACACGAAAAGAAATAGAGACCACTTAAATTTACAATGTGTTATGTGGGAGGTTTGGGTGAGCAACGTCTGCACGTTTTTCGGAAAAGTGGAGGGTAGAAAGCCTTCCTTTAACATAAAAAATATTAAAATGATAACTTGCATAAGTACTCGTTTTAGTAGTGTGGCGTTGTTAAACATTATTTACGAATGTTAGTATACAAACACACCTGAAGTATATTCCATTAAAAGTTAGTTGAAGTCAAAACTAAAGTTCAGAAGTGCTGCAGAAGGTCTCGCGCGCTAATTAATAAGACAGAAAAACCAAGGGCAAATGTTGAAACCAGATAAACGATTAAGAATTATTTTTAAACCAAATATTTCAGATATTGACGAATGTTCCCGTCACTCAGGACTGTGTCAGCACCACTGTCGGAACACACATGGTGGGTACGCATGCGTCTGCTCGCCCGGAAGTCGACTTCGACAAGACGGACGGACGTGTGTCAGTAAGTACTTCGGATATAATATTTATTGGCCAACGAGACAGGTGTCTAGAAATAAATTGGTAAATATCATTTCCTGGAAGAGAATATATCGATATGGACCAAACTAATGAAGGAGGGATCTCCTATCACTATTTATCGGCTTTATTGTATCAACGATACACTTTTTGTGCCTAAATTAACATTTGAAACATACAGCAGTCTTACCAAATTGTATTTATAATAATCACAACTAAATCTCTTGAAACGGGGTTAAATATTAAATGATTGCAAGAAAGGTTTGCATATAAAGACTTTCATTTTTTTGTTATAGTTTGACTCATAATATTATGGTAAATATGATGTGACATACCACCACCCCCTTACACACACCTAATATATCAATTCGGATGGGAAACCTTATAGCTATGAGTAGAATGTAGGCCTTCTAGTCCAGTAAATACATAGCAATACCTGGTAACTGGAATTGCATTGCAGCTATCTCGCATACTAATATTGTAGATCAATTTATTTCTGGCTAACTACTGTTTATTGTGGAAAAGGATATATACAATTTACTAGCCTTTACAACTGTCCCAGATCAACAGTACATAAAATACCAATATATCTTAATCATAACTGGGCTGTGAGGTACGTTCATTATACTTTCAACTCCCAGATAAATGGACGTATTTTTTTTCTAAATAAATGAAAAAAGTATTAAGAAAGTATCACACCCATCCGCCCAAATTCCCCCAGTAACGGCGAATGAAGTGGGAATAGCCAAGCACCGAATCCCTCAGCCCTGCGCTGCCGGGACCTGTGGTGTTTGGGACGACCGCTGTTTTGTTGTTTGGGTGCCCAAGTCCTCCCGTTCGGGGCCTCTCCCACAGTGGTTGTCAGGCCTTACCCCCAATCTTAAGATTTGGTTAAGAATTGTCTAAATACAAGTGAGCGAGAATAGTGTATGGTTATTATGTCTATAAAGTTACAAAATAGAGTGTATCGATAACATGATTAAGCTGATAAATAGCGAGGTCACTGTGACCTACTTTTCAACTATGCACTAGTTTTATTGGTCATTCATCTTATACGCAGCTTCAGTGTTACACAATATTCCAAAATTTTGAAGAAAGGTTCTAAAATGGACATGCACCTTAGTAAAAAAGTTTTTATTCTTTTGGTTCCTAATTAGACCCTCTTATATATAGCATTGGGTTCCAATTTGACTTTAATTATATGTCATATCATGGCGGCATAACCCGAAGGTATGTATATCCAAAAAGAAAAAAACCCATCGGTGATAGCCACAGAAAGGCCTAAATTGGCTCCTCTCCTTTTGGAAATAATTATTATGTTCGAATAGCTAAAGGTTTCTACAATTTGTGATATACTTTATTACGAGTTAGGTTTGTTCTAAATATGAACCATTCCCAAACGCAAGATGACACAAACTATAGTAACAGATAACGACTTATTAACAATCTTAAATTTAAATTCAACAATTTGTTTACATGTCCACCTTTGCAAATCTGATTATTTTGTTTCTAAATAGTATGCATACTTAAACTTGACATGTCATCGTTCGTCTTTAAACAGACACAACGTGTATTCCTGAGTGTAGAAATGGAGGTGTGTGCATACATCACAGGTGCCACTGTCCACGTGGGTACCAGGGGATCACGTGTCAACTCGGTAGGTATCCGGCGAAAGTGTCAAATGTAAGCTTTGTACTGTAATCGTACATATTTAAGCGTTAGTCTCATTAAAGTTGTTGATTGCGCTTAAACATTGTGCTAAATTATGGTTGCGTCATAAAAATCTCATGTGTTTTGATTTTATTGCCTGTTTTGAAGTCGCTTATTCATCTGGGTGGTATAATCTTTTACAATTCAGTAATGCACAATAATGATATCAAAATCATCTTACAATACTAATAATCAACCTTGTGACACAGTACTTGTCGTGGTCAGGGTCATATGTTAGTTCGGTAAGATTCGCTTTGCAAAAGTCACGTGACAGGTTATCGTGGTATCGTGGAGTGAGGTCGACGTTAAAAGGTGTTTTGCAGTTCTCTAATGATACTTAGATGCTAGTAATGTCTACAAGTTTTTTTTTTTTTATCATGATAAATGAAGAAATCTCATTGGATAAATCAAGTCATTGCGTTTACCATAAAGAGACCGGCAACATTCATTGCAGCCTCTCCGGCGGAAAGCCCTAGCTTCGGAAGAATATTCTACCAATCCTTGGCTAATTGTTATATATGTTTCTGTTTCAGATATTAATGAATGTTTAGAATTACCATGCAGTCACATCTGTGCGAATCTCCCCGGAAGTTACATCTGCTCATGCCCGGCTGGATTTGAATTGGGTATTAACCTCCATACATGCTCAAATTCAACAACTCCTGGGATGTGATATGACGAGTATAGACCTACATTGTTGACACATACTGTTAACAATGGGCAGATCAAATGTATTATAATTAACAACAGATCAGATCAAACAGAACAGCTGTACGCTATATCTACATCGTAAACAAACCAACATGAACACAACAATCATATCGCTATCGTCAACAAACTCCAATACATATGTGGCAGCTATTCTGTGTCCTAACCGTTCCTATTTTGAATGTTACATAAATTGCTAACACGGCAGATTCTTCATCGTCAAAGTACCAATTCAGTGTCAATAACTATCGTTTTTTTACAATCAAACTAGTACCTCAATGTCAACAGCTAGATGCATCAAATATATATCATCAAAACAACAAATGGCAGCGACTATCAGATCAACATCATCAAAAAAACATCAACATAACAACGATCTCATATCTTCATCATCGAAATATTGAAGGTATTGTCGACAACGATCATGTCTACATTGTCAAAATACCAATACAGCCATTGTCGACAGATACTTATCATAATCATATCGTCAGAACGTTATCATTTGATTCAGGGTGACATTGTGGCATCCACCGTATCACACTGAAAATGTCCATTGCATCTTTAGTGACATGAAATAATACAAACATGACATTCTGGTAAAGATATATGCACATTTACTCATGGATGGATTGAAAAGGCATGCACAGGAAAACGTCCAGCTATTACCTCCAGCAGTGAAGGGTGGACTTTACTTCAGATGTTCTTTTGAGCTGCATCATTGAAAGCGCTGTATTGTATTTAAGGATTAGATTTTTATATGATATTAATGAACGAAGTGAAAATCGTCTAAAATTTATGTTAATTTTTTGCGGATTTTTTTTTTACCTTCAACAGACTTCAACGAACTTCCATGAACTCAACGAAATACCATCAAGTCTGAATGACATTCACTGAGATATAATTTCATTTATGACGTCATCGTGTTTGTTAACTCATCATTATGATAACGTTCGTCATCGAAAATCGATAAAACGCTTTTCTAGTGATTAAAATATACTTGGATTACACTTTTTTTTTATTACAATAATTATGAATTACATCAATCACTCTTGTTGACCAGGATGTTAGCACTTAGTAGTCTTTGTGTTGAAGTAAACTGCCGGAGTATCCAGAGAAAACCCCTCGGGCAGGTGACCCTATACCTTTTCCCGTCCGATTGAGTTATCGAACAGCGGTAGAACAGCTACCGCCTTGGTGAAAGGCGAGAGCTTTATCCACAGCGCCACCTGACATTCCCCCAAAATGACTGAATATTTCCTTTCTTCATATGTATATATTGAAAATTATTGTTTCTAGGCAAAATAAAATCACAATTTGCCGTCTGAAAATAAAACACGATTGCTATAGAAGCATCTAAATGCTTGTAGTTTTAGTTTTATCTTTAAATAACAGAAATGTTATAGTTTCAAATTATTTGTTTTGTTCAACTTTTTTTTTTAATTACTAGTATTTCAAATTACAAATAGTTCTGTAAATTCAATAGGAAAATTAAGAGAAGATATAAGTCTACATAATACTATACTAAAACATCCCGTACAACAACAAATACAAATCTGTTCCACATAATGTTATATAATTTAAAGATATGATCCACGAGCTACTGAAAAGGTTTCCGTCGTTGTCTTCATCACTTAACTTTGTATTCGTCTGATTTCATGATAACGACCTTCTGTTCAGGTTTAATAAACAGCAAGTTATACACGTGACAGGGGCGTTATCGGGCAAAGTATCTATGGATTGTGTAATAGAAGACTGAGAAGAACAGACGGCTCTCCCGTTACGTTAAAAATAAACCCATCGAAACACGCAGCGAATATTTCCTTATCATCAGGTATGTTGATAATTTCATCAAAGTTAATTATTTTCTGATTTTTTTAGCAAGAGCAGTTATTTTATGGATATTGCTGACCATTATTTAACACAAGTTTGTACTACATTTCCTATCATCGTGTCATAGCACATGACTACCACCCTTGCTTCCCTCGTTATAATTAGCGGCTGTCATAACACATGACTACCACCCTTGCTTCCCTCGTTATAATCAGCGGCTGTCATAGCACAAGACTACCACCCTTGCTTCCCTCGTTATAATCAGCGGCTTTCATAACACATGACTACCACCCTTGTTTTCCTCGTTATAATCAGCGGCTGTCATAACACATGACTACCACCCTTGCTTCCCTCGTTATAATCAGCGGCTGTCATAACACTTGTTTTCCCTGTCGTTATAAACTTAACTATATCCTGCGGATCCAACATTGCTGATAGGATGGAATATATACCACATTGGAAACTTTTGCGACAATAATTCAACACAATTACTATCCTCATCAACAAAGAAGATAAGAAACAAAGGCACTTTAGCTACATAGGTTATATGGGGAAATAACACCTACGTTATAACGTCTTTAAAAATGAAAAAATATGATTTATACCACTAGGAAGTAAACTCTTATAGATTTTCTGAATCAAGATTATTTGTTGATTATATATTTGGGGCATTTGTTTGTTTTTTGTTTGGCTCAAGACTCTTAACTTATCAGTAATACCCGCAATAACCTGGTGGGCGTCCTGTATCTTTAGATTAATACTATGTTTGATCAAGATTGATATTTAGGACGTACTTGACACAGAAACAATGTCACGTGACTGTATTTACCTTAGCACTTATATCTGATGACGGTACATAGTACTCCTGCGGAGTCCAGGTTTTCTGTATTACATCAGACACACGTTATCGGGGTTTCTGTACTACATCAGACACACGTTATCAGGGTTTCTGTACTGCATCAGACACTCGTTATCGGGGTTTCTGTACTACAACAGACACACGTTATCAGTGTTTCTGTACTATATCAGACACACGTTATCGGGTTTTCTTTACTACATCAGACACACGGTATCAGGGTGTCTGTACTACATCAGACACACGGTATCAGGGTGTCTGTACTACATCAGACACTCGTTATCAGGGTTTCTGAACTACATCAGACACACGGTATCAGGGTGTCTGTACTACATCAGACACGCGTTATCAGGGTTTCTGAACTACATCAGACACACGGAATCAGGTTTTCTGTACTACATCAGACACACGGTATCAGGTTTTCTGTACTACCTCAGACACACGTTATCAGGTTTTCTGTACTAAATCAGACAAACGTTGTCATGTTTCTTGTCGTTTCAATTATACTATGTAGCTTAACAACGATCATAAAGAAAGAGAACATATAATAGTAGACATAGAGCTAGCAATGGTTGTATCACATACCTGTTGAATCTTGTTATATTATTTCAAGCAATTTTCAGACCATGAAATAGAACGTTTTGCTTTGCACATGTGCAATACGGAATTTTGTATTTACCTACTAGCCGGAACTACTTTGTATGGGAATCCCCTTGTCATGGCGAACTGAAAAGTTCCCGGTATTTGCCAAAAATATCAATCGCTCTCTACCAATTATGGAAGGTACATTGTAAGTGACAAAAGCATGAAACTGTTATTTTTAGAAAATTTGGCAGATTATTCTTAAATAAACCATTCCAATATCATCATTTTTTTCCATTTTTTAAAAATTAACTTACCAAATTAATGCCTGTTCTCGTTTTCTTAACTTCCATATATTTAACTGTTTGGGAATGAATATTTGTTATCACCTAGCGTAACTGTATTGGCTGTATTCTACCATTATTTCAAATTTAACATCACAACTTAATTGTGTCACATATTTGTATTTGCTCAGTGACGTCACTATGGAGACTTGGAGTCTAAATGTCACTATTTTTATTTGGTGACAGCCTTAAAAAAAAAATCTGCAAATCTTGTTTATGTGATAAGCATATTATAATTGTTATTGTTGTCAATAAGAGATAAATTGCTCGTTGAAGTTAAAACAAGCGAAGACTAGTTTCATAATTATCATATTCAATGGTTACTTCTTATCAATAATGTATTTGTTTAATATTACGAAATTTTCAAATCCTAATGTTAATTTGATTTTTCACGTCCAATGTCATTTATACTTATAAACTATATTATATTATACTAGATAAAAAGACAGTTTCCTTTTCAGTGTCATTTTATCATTACATAACTTGTACTATTTTTGTACCCACGTATTTTTTTTCTTCAGATGCAGACGCTGATGTTGCACGGAGAAGTTGGAGTCTACTGTTTGAAGCAAAACTATTTGGCAATCTGTGATATCTTCCCACATTCGCCTTGACGATTGATTGTATTCTGGTAAATGAACTAAAAGAAACACGCGATAGTTAGCCTTAACACAGACAATAATTGGTGTTATTTGGTGGTGCTGGTCAACATATTTTGGTTTCCAAGTAGCATTAAAACTTCAAACCTCATCGGTTGATATACCAAACATGGAATGTGAAGAACATCCGGGTAACCTGATGATATTAGTGTGTATTACGTGTGATACCACCCTGGTCTGTGTAGGTTGTATGACCGACAAACTTCACAATGGTCACGTGTTCGAGAAACCAAGCACAATTTCAAATGACATCAAAACTAAACTCAAGACGAAGGTAACAGAAGTTTATGAACTGGAGAAGTATTTAGAATCGGACCTAAATGAGTTAAGGAAACTAAAAACAAAACAAGACAAAAACCGAGAAGAACGAACCAAGTCAATTGAAGCAGGAAGGACAGTTCTTACCAATGCCGTAAACGAGATGGCGGATATCTTTATATCAAACTACGAGAATCAAACTAAGAATAATTGTAATGAACTGCAAGCGGTGATCAATGACATTTCAACAAAAGTGGAAAACATGAAAATACAAAGAGATAAGATACAACGCATCATTGATGAAAAAGATGATCTAGCAGTGGTGCACGATTCAGGAAATCTTAAAGACGTTGACGGACAGAGAAGACCGTATCCCCAACATGCCGCTATCAAATTTACCCCCGACATATGGGACTCAGATAAGCTGAAACTCGTGTTTGAGGGTAAGGCAGCTGGACTAAAGGCACTAGCGACACTTCAGGGAGTGCAAACTGGTACCGTCGTACATCAGGGTGTGGAACCCGTCTTTGAGTCTTCCTTCAAACATTCTAAATCAAATTTTGTGACTGGAATGTGTAACGGTTCTCCCGGAAAGTCATGGGTGAAATGTCACGATGGAAGAGAACTAACTCTTATAGACAAACACGGACACGTAGACAAAACCGTGCCATTCGACTTCAGTGTTAGAGGTATGCCAACAGTTA